AGACACTAGGAAACAAAAACGCACATATAGTCGCTCTTAGACATGCTTGTACTCGGTTGCATTCGGGCGGCACACAAAGGCTGCCCTTGTGAGGCTGCAGAGGAGCATGCCAAGAGGAGGCTGCACCCGCTGCACTCGCTCTGCCCAGAGGATTTTGTAGATCTGTGTGGGTGATGGTTCGCCCCACTGTTATATCCCAACAGCCACTGTCAGTGACCCCCGAGTGTGTGGACCTAATCATGAACTGTCACAATACTTCCACTGTTTACTGGCTTGGATTAAAACCACATGAAAAACTAATCAGACCATGGAGCTCTTAAGCTTTTTAGTGGAAGCCTTAATATTACTGTTAACCATTACTAATGTTTTTAATGAGTATGGCAGCTCCTTCAGGTGAGGAGACTAGTATTTTATAGTTTCTATATTTCTTGGCTTCCCTCCCTGTAAACAAAAAGGAAAAGGTAAGAAATAAAATGAAATCTTTTGCCCCTGTTGGTTGAAAGCCAAAGTACACTTCCCATAGTTAAATTAGTAAAGTTGATCTATTCCTCTACTGAAAATCCCCTTTTCTCTAACCGTGACAAAAGTGAAGGTAGTTAATGTGCACAGTGCTCAGTCCCTGTTGGTAAAATGTCAACGAAGCTGAGAAAAGGCTCAAAATGGAAATTATGATCTGAAAAAGTGATGTTTCTGTGATTCTTTGTAGCAGCGGAGGTTTGATTTAACAGAGACATCTGGTGGTTGTGTGAACTGAGCTGAGCCAAGTCATGAAGAAAAGTCATCTGACTGACATAAACAGCCATTTTTCCATGTGACACGATGGCGTTGCATCAGAATTCATTTTCTTCCCTGCACAAGCGTTTCCCTTTGCACAGATGATGCTGAAAAACTAGAAGTTAATGTGCAGATTACAGACTGTAAACACGAGACACCTTTGCCTTTTTAATTTATTTTGCAGTACTTTTTTTTTTTTTTTTTTTAATTTTAGGACTGATTATAGATTTTGGAGCATTAGTAGTTTTAAAGGTGGCACAGTCGGATTGTTCTTTAATGGTGCTGTCTGCAAGCTATGTGATAGCTTTTCAATACGTTTGTTATAACACGAGTTGCAGTGCAAGATGTTGTTTTGTAAAGAAAATGCGCATCACATTTGAAAATGTCTTACAATGCATTATACAAGTTGCCTAGTGCATCACGTTTAATCACGTTGGAAGAACAATCTTAATGTTTTTTTTATTATCCGTGTTGGAATTTAATCTAAACTTGATAACGACAGAAAATGTTCGCCTGTTTGGCTCACTTTTTACATACTGACTAAACCCTTAAATTTATTAAGGCTCTGCTTTGAGGCTTGACTTTTTGACATATCAGGTGATGTTACAGCTGCTTCACAAAACTTGGGATGAGGAGAAAGCATGAATTTAACACTTAAAAAAAATAGACATACCAGGGTATTTTAAAGATTTTAAAGGAAGTTAAAAATGCTATTAAATTTTTTTGAATATGGTAATCTTTGAAGGTACATGAGTACATTTGGGTCTAAAAAGTGTGAGTGTATTACACTTGGTACCCACAGGCCTCATTAACCCGGCAACATATTTGTGGCTCCACGGGTTTCCGTGTCGGCGCTGTGATTTTAGAGCAGGAAGACGAGCAGAGGGGCAGATTTACAGTATGAATATGTTGACGAGCAGCTATTTATATGATTTAATACCGATACTGAAGATATTTTTGTATTTTCTTTGATGATGTTTGCTGTCTAATTGTACTGACTGTGAGATTTTCTGATTACAGCAGTGCTCCATTTTAGTGTTTTGTGTGGAGGAAAGTCTGAGTAACAAATAAAGCTCGAATGAAACTCTGTTGCAGGTTTATTATAAACTATAATGAAGATGCTTTTTGTTTTTGTGCTCTGAAGATGTGACTGTAAAACCTCTTTTAGGAACAAACAATTTCTGATGTCAGAAGAAAACATTTGCTGTGTTCGTTCTTACAGTTTGCTCTCCTTCTCCATGCGACGCCTCTCCCCACAGCAATTTAACCTCGGGCTCAGTCTTCGTCCCTTGTGTCACGTCTTTTCCCATGTGACACAGACGTGTGTGGGTGTGTGTGTGCAGTGATTCTGCCTGAATTCAGTCACGTAATGACAATTGGGAGGCAAGACGAGAGGAAAACAAACATTGTATAAAATGAAGTGAACAATCACTACACTGCTTGACTGTTTTCATTTTAGAGAGACTCAAATACCTCAGCTGTTATTAAAACAACAACAGCTGATCAGAAAAGTATGGATGCTTGCATAACTAGTTTTTGCAAATATAACCAATCTTCTAGAGGGATTAGAAAAGGTGAGAGTATGCACCTTTTTTTTTAGTCAGCTGTAGTGTTTGCATATTTCTTAGAAATCCTCAACCTGTCACCTAAAAACGTGTAAACAAGTTGGATAAGTTTTCCACACAAGCTACAAAAATGTACAGGATGAAAGGAAAAAATGACTAATCTATGAAGTTTGATCAAATTACAGAATGAAAAAAGAAAAGATTATCATACATTTCATCATCGAAACAAATAAAACAAAATTTAACTGTCCTTAATGAACAATATAAAACAAGAAAAAGCCTCCACTTATTGTTCAGGCTCAGTCCTTGTCTTTCATTTGTTCATGCATTCTGTGCTAGTCCTCCTAAATCTTTGCTACTATTTGATCCAAACGCTTGCACAGGAGTAGGAAGAGATATTAAAAAAGGAGGAGAGGCTGGAAGTTCCTGGATCAGATGAAGAAAAGCACAGCTTCACTTTCCCAAGCTGACAGAATGTTAATGATCCAAAGGCAAAGTTTTGAAATGACTTTCAAAATGCTTGTAATTCCTAAACAGTGAATGAAATACTTTTGCTAAACCCTGAGAATTAAACCTGGAAGTCTGCACTTCAATTCCATCTTGATACTTTGATTTAACATCCACTGCGTTGGTGTGAAGAGGCAAAATTAATCATCATTTGCAGATAGCCTGATGGCTGAAGAGCTGCAGGCTGCATTTACATTACATACATTTAAAAACAGCGTCCTCATGCAGAACATTCTGGCAAAGTCCACACTAGGGAAGATGTTTGCAGCCAGGTCGCAACTTTAATCAAAGCAGATCAATTCTGAAACAAAACACAGCAACACACTCCTATAATCTACACCAGTTTTGTCCGTCTACATTATATTTAAGGATTATTTTAATGGTTCTATTCTTTATACAGTTGCACAGAGCACATCTTTACCTTCACAGACAGCAAAACATGAATTTTTCAGCCCCTTGGACTCCATCACGACACAGGAGCAACTGGGCAAACTGATCATTCTCGGCTAAAATGAAGTTTCCTAGAGAGATGAAGCTGATCTCAGCTCCTGCTTGTACCAATGCAATGAATTTAAACAACTTACCAACTCACAGCATTCGAGGAACACCAGAACATCAAACAAAAAAGATCCTCAATGCATGCATTTGACTGCAGCATGCTGGATTCAAACATGTCTTTTTTCTACCTTATTTTCAAAAAACAACAACAACAAAAAGAGATCGCAGCTCAAAATTTCTGTGAACTGGAGATCTTGTTGGCTCTCAATAGCACAATAACTTCAGTCGTGTATTTTAAATGGTATCCAGGAAAAGGCAGTATTACCATACTTTAACTGAGATTATATGTTTTTACTGCGGCTGGCACACTGAAGAGAGCCTTAAAGCCTGGGACAGGCCATTTAACGGCACGGTTCAAAGAGGCAAATTGCTGTTATTACTGCAAACCTTTCCCATCCTTCATAAAATCCTTTTTGCTTTGAACAGACAATCCAATTTTAAGCAACTGAAGTTTATCGCTAGCCATCTTAAATTGAAGCACATGATTCTTTGTGGCCACAAAATAGTTTTTATTTATTTTAAATAACTTGTGCATCTTATTCCAGCCTGAGTACTTTACCTCTCCTTTATCCTCCACCAGTGAGTCATCCTGCTGTGATGCACAACCTTACAACATACTATTTTTTTAAATTAAGGTTTCTTTTTATTAACAGTGCATGCAAGGTGGATATCAAGCAATCAAGATAAAAAACTCAAAAATCCTAGCTACATATATGTACGCGTTCATTTTCTTCATTATTATCATTCTTCAGGATCACTCTTACCCACGCGGTAAATATTGAAAACAGTCATATACAGGGTATACAGGGTCTCCTTAGTCTTTTTAGAACAAGCGTAGGGAGTTCAGACTGTAACATAAAGCGGTCAGCCGCTGGGTCCTTCATGGCATAGAAAGCTGCTAAAATATACTCACGCAGGTATATTTTGTGCTGATAAATATTTTCACGGCCCTTTGAGATAGAGAAGAAACACAATACAAACGTACATGAATACCAGTCTGAATATTATAACAAAATAAATACATTTGCTGTGACGCAGAGCTGCCTCTCGTATATTTCTAAACACTTCTTCAGTGCAGCTCCTGAAGGAGAATCATTCAGAAAAATAATTACAGGGTGAAGAGCGATGTGAGGAAAGTTGGAAATTATGACCGGGGGAGACTAGCAGCTAAGGTTTGTGGGAGCTGTGGCGAATTAAAGCCTCTGTGTGTGTGTGTGTGTGTGTGTGTGTGTGTGGGGGGGGGGGGGGGGGGGGGGGGGGGGGGGGGGGTGTCGTAGCAGGTCCACCAAGTTGAAAGAAAACAACTAGATCTCCGTCTATCGGCCAGCGGAGGGCAGTAACACACAATAGAAGTGAGGGACAGGAAGAAATGCAGCCCGTCTGCACACACCGTAACAGTTAATCTCACAAAATGAAAACACTGCAGCAGTCACGTTATGCAAAATAACATTCATCTCCCCCCAAACCTCCACCTCTACGTGTGGCCGTTTTCAGAAGAGGTTGAATATCATCTCACCTCTGAGGGGGATATATTATATTTCGTCTAGTGGGTGCGAATGCGGACATATGAACCGGAGGATCAGTGCAAATGAGGAAAGAGGATCCAGGTGATCCACAGTTTATACTTCATATCGTTGTTCACTGCCTCTTCCTCCCTCTGCCTCTTCTTTAAAATATTTTGTAGGACTTTTAAATACATTTAACTTCTTCAGTGATTTGTGTGAACCCTTTGGCAGAGGTGTGCATATGCAGTGCATCACTGAGGAGAAGAAGAAGCTTTCAGGTGTTACAGATTTAACCACCTGCAGCGGACTAGTTGTCAAGGTCTGTGGATGAGGCAGGACTTGCTCAAATCCAGAAGCTTACATGCTTTAGGAACTGAAGACACCGTGTTCTTGGTTTATAACCACCAAAACCTGACAGGGAAACACGGAAAAGGTGTTTAAACATTGGCTGATCTGGAACACTAAACTGACTTCGTTCCGTCTTCCCTGTAAGGTTTTCAAGATTTCTGACAGAAAACAAGAACTTTATAACACGACTGAGCTCTAACTGGGTTTTCTCCTATAATATTTCAGGGGGTGCACGAAGCTGTCAGTTAACCTATATGTGATCTAGCCATCTATAGCCAGAGGTAAGAGGAGGTGTCTTAGACAAATGACCGTGTCGGTCAGTCGAGACGAAGTGAGGTTACGGGATCAGGTAGCAGCAGTCGTTTCTTCAAGAGATGACGAGCCTCCTGTGCTTAAGTTCAGAGTTTGTGATCGAATATTATCTAAAATCCTCTTCAGAATACCTCAGATAGTTCGACTGAGCCGTGCGATTGGACCGTATGGAGTTCACTGATATTTCCATACGCTCCAGCGCACAAGGCGAGAGCAGTCGGCGTCAGATTAAGTCAAGCATTCAAACGGATTCTGAATAGTATTTGTCTCTAGCCTCGCCTCAGTTTTCGCTGCTCTCTGTTGGAGCAGGTGGCGACTGCGTTTGCTCCTTCACCTCCGTCTGGCCTTCTTTCTTCTCATCCTCGTCCTTGAAGAAGAGGAGGGGAAACATACCGAGGATGCAGCCGATGCCCACGCCGATGGCTTTACCCTGCGGGTGGGAAGAAGACAACAAAGATTTTAGCAAAGATGGAGGGATTTCTGCACATTGTTACCGTGGGATTATTCTTCATTTATTTCAGGATTGCATATTGTTCTCTAGGTGTGATCTTTGCAGGTGGGCAAATACTTGAGAGACCCTCAAATTTCTTTTTCTTTTATTTGCAGAAAGCCCGCCTTATTGCTGTCTGATGAACACCCTCAGCTTTCTTAGCCTCTGTGCATCCCTATACTCCTTTATTTACTGAAAAAAGCTGATTTCTGTCTGAAAAACAGACACAGTGGCCTTAATTTATACGAACTGACATATTCACAACCCACATCTCCAATCTGGTCTCCTTAACCGGAGCCGCTGAATCCACGAACCCTGTGGAGAAGTCATTTACACAGAGGTGGACAGGTTTCTCCAGCCTGCAGCGCGAGTTAAAATTCACTAGGTTCAATAAAGGCACAAATGTAAAACCAATTGTCTTTTTATAACTGTGACTTGGAGCATTAAAAGTTGTTTATGTAACTGTAAATTGGTCTTTATTGTCATTTTTTATTGAGCTCGGTGCTTTTCATGCCACACCTTCCCTCTTTACTGTAACGCTAACAAAGGGTTGGAAGCAAACACTTAAAATCTCCAAAGACCGATATGTTATTTTTGGCTTGTATTTATTAAAAACTATTTCTTCACAAGCCACAGCAGCCTTTAGCAACCAGCCAGGTGCCAGACTAATCACTGTAGCTTATTATATTTCATGCTTCAGCACTTATAGCATATTAAAGATCGCCAGGTCCCAGTTCCTTTTATGACATTTGAAAGCTGGGCCCCGTCACACAGACTTGTGTTACTCGCGTTTGAGTTGTCAGCGTGCAAAGGCCTGTCCTGGTTTGATGTGCATTTTGCACAGAAATGAGCCGCTCAGTGGGGGAGCGAACCAGAGCAAATTCTGTAACTGTTTCTATACCCACCGTGTGAGAGCTGACTCTTGTCTGCCACATATCAGCCTGTTTTGGGCTCAGGTCAGGAATCTGCATCCCCAACCGAGACGCCAACGCTTCTACATAACCTGCCAGCCTGAGGAGAGGGAGAGACCGATGGATAGAAAAAGAATTAAATAGGAAGGGACTTAACACAGTTCAGCAAACTGCAGCGACAGCATTATTCTATTGATAGAACGCTCTATATACAGCAGGGATGGGCAATTCCAGGCCCCGAGGGCCGGTGTCCTGCAGGTTTTAGATCTCACCTTGGGTCAACACAGCTGAATCACATGATTAGTTCCTTACCAGGCCTCTGGAGAACTTCAGGACATGGTGAGGAGCTAATTTAGCCATTTAAATCAGCTGTGATTGGATCAGGGACACACCTGACATGCAGGACACTGGCACTCGAGGCCTGGAGTTGCCCACCCCTGATATACAGCGTACTGTGCAAAAGTCCTGAGCAACCCCTCTTTTATTTAATATTTTGCTATGGAAATGGGAAATAGGTGCAGTGACTTCTTGAAAAGCACAGACATAAATGGAAAAACGAAATATGGGCAAAAACGTTTTGTGATTTTTCTCATTGAAAGCAAAAATACAAAGAAATGAGGAGTGGCTCAAGATATTTGCACAGTGCTGTATATCACACATGCACACACACAAACATCACCCATCAAAACCTTCTAATCAAATGAAGTCTGAATACCAAAGTCTTGTGATTTTGTTGAAATGTTATTGTGACAAAAAGAAAATCAAAGAAACATTATGTGAAAAATTCTGTAACAGATTGAATTCGCCGCTGCCTATTTGTGTTTGCATCGTTTCTGTTTATATAATAATCCCCCCGTTGATAATTTTCTCCATTACATATCATAATTCAATAAACCCATGCTAACATGACACTTCCCTACCAAGGCAAACAACAACCAGAGTCGGTGCTAATAACGACAAAATAAATCAACAGATTAATGCTCCGGTCTGCTTCCTGTCGCTGATGTTCATAAACCCAGCAGGATGCCAAACCTCAGCTCTAACAACAGATGGAGTAAAAGAGGAAGCTTCCAACAGTGTATAAATTAACTCAGTCCCAGGGCTTTGCGTGGATTTACACAGATCACGGACCGATGACGGATTGCAGCAGATAAAGAGTGCTACACGGAAATCACCACGATGTAGAAAAATGAATAAGATTGGATTAAGAATTCTGGGCAACTAGAAACAAGAACATTCTGCTGGATCTCTATTCTGATATGGACTGGGTAATGCCATATCATCCTTTCATTTCATTTCTATCATTTGACAGAAATGAAAATGATTAACCTACAGGGGGCCTCAGCTGTGGCACTCCTGATTGTGCTCAGGTGCCTCCTGCTTCAGTCGTGTGTCCACAACCTGACAGGTTTCCGCTCGTGTGTTTGGGAAAAAGTGTTTCCAAAGAGACACTTGGCTTAATAGTCCTGAAATAAAAGACTCTTGGAAACAGTGGGAATATTTCTACAGTTGGCCATCCTGGAAACAGAGCAAGAAGGTCATTGCTACGCTCCAGTGAGCAGTTAGAGCCACTTTGGTGTAAAATGGACATGAAGCGACAGCCAGCCTGCCAAATGTCATTAAAAAGGAAAATTATCTGGCTGAAGCTAGAGAGGAGGAAGTGGACTCTAATATGCAAACGAAGGGAACCGACATAAACACTGTCGTGTGACCCTACATGTGCCAAGGCACGTAAATATGGTGCAGGTGGGGCGGTTTTGAATGTGAGGGAAGAAATATGGGTTGACATTTGGACCCAGGTCGGCTTCACTCACTGGCACTAATGGATCCTCAGTCGGCTGCACATACAAATAAGCTGCAGCTGGAGCTGTTAGGGGAGCGATAAGCTGCACACAGCATATCTGAGAAAAAGGCAAGTCTGCCTGTGCATTTGTGTCCAGGGGGGTGTGCTTTCGAGCCCACTGCCTTTAAGGATGGGGCAGCAGAAGTAGTGGAAATAGGACTGATTCTTATGATAACAGATGATGAGCTATTAAGTCCTTATGAGGAGAATAAGTAGATTCATTAGACAATATTCTTTCTTACAGCATCTCAAGTGGATACACTGTAGCCATTAAGTCTCTAGTTTATGTTTTCTTCTTCTATTTCGCATTTAAAATGATGGTTAAATTGAAGTAATTGAGACCACAGCTTTGAAGCTCAGTAAGCTGCAGTGAGGGAGGCATTTGGTTTTTCTCTCCGCTTCTTTGAAATTCAGTCTCACCGCCGAGCCCCAATCCTAATTTCTTTCACATTCATCCACGGCTTTAGATGAAATTCACTCCAAATTACCCGTGCTCTTGTAACAGCGGAGGGCAAAATAAATAAGCTCTGCATTTTAAAAAAAAGAAAGCCAAAACAAAATACTGCAGCAATCACAATGCAGGAATGATGAAATTTACTGAAAGGCCCGAGCTCATCCCAAAAAACATAAAACAAGACAGACAGGCTGTTCACTGTGTGAGAAGCAGGCTGAAACATGAGCCGGGTGCATCGCAAGCCCCAGAAAACACAGTTATACATTTTATCTTTTGGAAAATTACATCTGGAGGAACTAAAAGCCATCACGTTGAGTTACTCAGCTTGTGTTTGGAAAAAACACAGAATTATGTGCATTGACGAAATGTCACTATTGTTAATCTGTAAAGTTCAAAAGGCATCAGTCACACAGGCATTCACCCACTTTTTTTTAAAGAAAGGTAATGGAATATAATCCAGATTACTCCAGGATTCAGAAGGAGTAAGGTAGAAAATGCAGGCATGATACGGAGGGGGATGCGTCTCCACTTCTGTATTCCCTAAAGATCCCTAATGTGCATTTCCTTGTCTGCCCCAGAAAGCCACCGATGCATTGCATTTGTAAGAAATTCCTAAAACAGCTGAGGCTAAACTCGACAGAAGCATTAGTAATAACCAGCTGAATGGTCAGAATGACTCATGAGCTCAATTATGGAGTTCAGCAAGATTCAGATGGTTTCCTAGGTTTGCCGAAATACTTAAAAGACTCAGACGGAGTGAAACATTACAAACGTGGCCTAACATGAACTCCTACATGATAAAATATGTATGCACTGGCACATATGTGGAAACGGTTGTGCATGTTGTTCAGCACAGTCACACACACACACGGAAGATTCTCTACAAGTGAGTCAGTATCTCTTAAATGAGCAGATTTCCTCTTAATTATGAGGACTAAAAAGCATCATTGGCCAAGGGACATGCTGCAGTGACAGCTACGTCTGTGCACTTTGATTATATAATAGTCAAAATTTAGTAACTGGGAGTTACTAAACTCAGAGGATCAGCAGGTTTGAGGCTCTTTTGATGCAATGTCCAGAGTGTTTATGACTCGTGTTACAGCACACTCATTAGCCTGCATAGAGTATGTCCTTAACTTTTTAGTGAAGACCAACTCCTGCACATCAAATATCAGTGTACGTGGATATCAACCAAACAACTTTATACTGGTAAAAGGTACAGTATATAATTTTCTGTGTGTATGTGATCTAAAAGCATATAATATATATTTTACCCAGAGACAAGCATTCATTGGCTGCAGTGGGTTTCTGCATACCAACGCGATGACCAAATCAGGATCTTCTGTACATACAAGCACATTAACCAGCAGAATTCAGCTAAGAAGGAAAACTTTCTTAGCTTTCTTAGAACTCAGTAGTTCACTTCTTGATTAAATAAAACTTAAAGGCACTTCAACAAACGAAAGCTAAAGGAAGCTGCAGTTCACAGTAAGTTCGTTAGAGGCATTTTAATCAGTCTCCAGAGTCTTTCATTTGGCTCATCTATGCAGGTGGAAAGTGAGTTCAGTTGCGGCTGAACATCATCACATCTATGCTGCTTGGGAATGGGAAGCCTGATCTTGTTCCAGGTGAACTAAATGTCTGAAAGTATGGCTGTAATCCAACTCACCAACAGAAAGCCATATGCATATTTTCGAGTACATGCACAGGATTTTTTTATTTACGAATTTTGCCAACTTCTGTTAACCAAACAGTTTGAAATCCAGCCGTAATATTTGCAGTAATTAGTCATCTGGGATCTCAGAGTCGGAGTCCACCTACAACCTCAGCAAGAAGTCTCTCTGCAGCCACTAAAGTGCCGCCGACTCCCAGTGTAATTTATAAGACGAGCGTTATGTGGACACTAAAGCGTTTCCTGTTAGAACAAAATCTGCATCGCAAACGTTGCTGTGAAAATCTCTTGTTGCAGCTCCACTGAGACTCTGAGGCAGACAAATGGCCTTCACACGCCTTGTCTCACCTTGATAAAGCGTCCACGGGGGCTCCACTTTCCTCTTTTGATTGAGCGGCAATCACACACTCGCTCACGGACGCGTGTGTGTGCCTGCTGAGAGTGTTTACATGGACCACAAGAACTAGACTAATACATCACAGGGAAAACAGAAGGAAACAGCATATTCCACTTCTGTCATCCATGCATGGGTATGATTTACACTGAAAAGGAGGAGAAAAAATGCACGCCATCATTGCATTCACCCTGGCGTTCCATTATATTAAGTAATGGGACTGGTTGAGCTCATGAAGCAGCTCAGGAAGCTGGTTATGATCTCTGTGGCCACAAGGAGGCGCTTAAACAGTCATGCATGAGCTGATGGAAGGATCGGAGAAACATGACCATCAAGCTTTCCTATATCATTACGCTGTTATTGAGGAAATCACATTAAATTACTCTGTACAAATTCATCAGTCCTTACAGTCAGTGTTTTAATCCACTTTTACTTCATTTCATTCTTTTAATTTTGATTATGCAGGAAAGGGAAAAAACATCTGATGGGGTTTTTGTTGCTGGGTTTCTGGGACAGGAAACAGAATAAAAATGAAGAAATTGGAGGAAAATGAATGAAAGGATTTTTCAGGGATTTAAAAAAACCAAACATTTAAATCATTTTAAAGTCAGTGTCCAAAACAAATTTTACATTTCATGTTTTAACACGGGGTTGTTCGCATGCTTTCAGCATCTTTATTGACTCTCCCGGTTGCTGTACGCTCCAACACTCCAACAACAGCAACGACAACAGTCAGAGCACAGACTTTAAGACGGCGAGGCGTGATTTAATCAAGCCACACCCCTGGGCTAAAGTGAGCAATTTATTGAATTAGCCCCACGAACAACATGATGGTAAACCTTTACCTTCTCAACGTGATGTGAAAAGGACCTTTGTTAATAAATATTATTATTATTATCTGTGTATATTTGTGTGGAAAACGTGTTGCTGTACAATCAGATTAATGGCTCTTCCTTTCCTTGACTGATTCTAAATTTCAACTGAACTGTTTGAATTTACCAAACGTGTGTGTGTGTGTGTGTGTCAAGTCTTACCCCAGTCCTGCCAGGTCTGATACCAAGTTGCCCAGCGCAGCAGCTGTAGATAATGGGAGAAGCAGAGGCATGGGTTACAGAGGCATTTTTCCGTAGGGCATGATGGATGTCCCAAGTGCATTATGGGCTCATCAAAGAAGCAGAGGCACAACACACTGAAGAAGAAGACCACACTGCTGCCGTTTTGCTTCTTACATGCTGCGGTGCAAGTAAAAGAGGACGAGGGAACGCTGAAATAACTTCACTGTCACCGGTTTATGCTTTGAATGTGCCGTATGGTACTGTAACAGCTGTGCCTAAGGACAGAAAATAAAGCCTGTGCTTTACTCCTGTTCTCTCAGCTGTCCCTGACCCTGAGTGCAGAGCATTGCTGCTGCAGCATTACAGAAACACTCCAGAGGAAACACACAACGCAACCGTGTCATCACTGCTGAGGCACAGTCATCATCTCGGGCTGGTCTCGAGCACTTTCATCTGATCTTTGAGCTACTGTAGCAATAAATATTGTACACATTACTCAGAGACAAACACTCTACTAACAAAGCGAGCAGAGACACATGCATCCTGTGGCAAAGCATCTTTAAGCTTCTGGTTTATAAAAGTTTAAAAGCAAGCAGCTTCTTTTTCTGCGACAAGAACAACGAGCGACTTAACTAGAGCCTCTGAGTGAGAGGCGAGAGCTGTTGCAACAGCTAGGAAAGGAAAGGAAAGTGTGCAACTCTTGGCCCAAGAGTCGGTGCCAAAACACACAGAGCATATTTGGACTAAATAAGGTACTTTTAGCAGAAATCTTTGCACTGTGCACCATTAAATCTGACTGTAAATCAGCAAACACCACAAAGGAAAAGGGGCTTGTTGCTTCAGCTGATTTAGGTCAGATGAAGATTTCGTGTGGTTATTTAAACATTTTTAGTCGATTTCTAAATATAACGTTACTCTCTGGCAGTGTAATCATTTTTCAGTGTGTTTCACCTCATGTTGGCACTTAAACAGAGAGCGCTGCCATTAGCCCCATGCTTTGTCTTGAATTGTGTACCAGTACTTTATACGGTCACAAAGCTGAATTCTTGGCTATGCAGCAGTTCAATGTTCAGTCAGCTGAAGGAGGACACACGTGCAGCTGTGCATGGTTGCTTTGAGGCAATATGGCCACGTTAGGCAAATTAATCTACACTCTGAAGATGATTAAAACAGATGTAACACAATATCTTGCTGACGTTAAACACTGCACCTCTGTACAGCCACTGAAGAGACAGCAGTGATGGAGAGGCCAGCTTGAGACTTTATTATGTGGTCAACCTGCTCAGATGTAATTACGAGACAAGGTTGGCTGTGCCTTTAATTCGCTGCTTTCTCTCCCTCTTCGGGGCCTTGGCATTAGATCTGATGCACATCAACAGACTGATGAGGGGGCGGGCAAATGCATCACAATTCAAGTCATTCTTAAGCAGCTGCAAACACAGAAATCACAGTGTAACTGATATTCTGACAAACTTTATCAAGTAGAAAAAGGGAAGTCAATTAAAAAGACAAAGAGTAACAAAAAAAAAAGATTTCCTGTTTGTAATCTCTGATTTCTGGATGGACTCTAAATATAAGTATTACATGTGAACTCCTACTTAATGTAAATTTCTGTATGTGGAAAGCAACAGGCTGTTTGGGGATTTTCCCTCATTTATCAGAGTTAATCGCTGTATCATCACAAACAGACTGCATGTAATTACCAGCTTAATCCCATTCAATCACAACCTTGCAGTGTTTGCAGCGACAAGCCTGTAAATTCATTGCAAACACCAAGCAGCACACTCTTTTCTTTAGTTTACTTTCATTTCTTAACCTTTCTGTTACTGTTATCACATGCTTCCTTCACACTGTATTTCTTGGGAACTTTCTAAAACTTTTTTGCCTAATAGTTGACAGTACTGCCAACCTGATGGAGCGAACAGATGCAAGTGCCTGGAAGCAGCAAAAAAAAGGAGCCTTTTACACCTGAAGCAAAACTAGAGAGCCTGTCTGCAAGTGAACTATTCACTGACGGCTGCTGTGGGATAAATGTGGCATGAAACAATGTGAAGTTACAAATGGGAGACAGCGGGAACATTTTGCACTAGCTGTATTGCTCCTGTACAAGCGGTCATAATTTATAGGCGTGCATGAACAGCACTCTCTACAGTGACAAAAACAGGAGTATACCTGCACTCAGCAGTACGTGGCCTTACATGCTTCTGTTCTCACACAAAGCTGAAAATTTGTTTGCGTGAGGCAGCTGGAGCTGTACAAAGGCTTCAAGTATGCAAACTGAAGCCTGGAAGCACCAATTCTGTCAAGAAAGAAATTTACACTTCTATTTCTTCCAGCTTGCTCCCCTTAAGGGTTGCCAGCTCACCCCGTCCCTAACATCCTGTTCTGTTGCACCAACCCTCTACATGTCCTCCTGTACTGCATCTGTGAATATTCTCTGAGGTCTTCCTCTTTTTCCTCCCCCTGGGAGCACCGTAAAAACCTTAAAAACCTTAAAAACCCCTTAGTTTCACCTCATATTTATCACCATTGTTGCACGCTCAACCACTTGGTTTATTTGCGCGCCACCAGTTTGACCAGTCTCATCAATCAAATGTTCTAAACTGTGCACTGGGAGGAAAATTAACTTTCACTAAACATGAGTAACAATTTTGAATAAAATGAAACTGAAATAGATCAAATCAAATGTTTATTTATTGAAAAACCTAAAGGAAAAATGTGCTTGGTACAAATTGAATGCATGCGAACCAAAACGACCTCTTTAGTGCAATACATTACATTATACTTATTTAACAGAATTACACTGAAAATTTACCTGTAATTAAATTAGTTAGAGTTAGAATTTTGGCCAAATAAATCTTTTTTGAATGCAATTCTTTGACCTCATATTCATTTTGAGCTGCAGTCTTTTCACATCATTAAGGCTGTTTAACTGAAGTAATTAGGAAAGTCAGGAGTAGACGATTCATGCAGCTTCCACGCTCATCAAGCGAGCAGAGACATTTTTGCCTCCTAGAAGGTGATTTGTCGTCTTCACTAGAGACTTGACATTAGTGCTAAATCACTCTGGACCGGATTAGATAACTGCAGCATTTTAATTTGCAGACCCCCGAATGCCCTCAATCTAGTGCGAATGACTAAATGGGGTCTGAGTGATAGAAAGTGTGTTAAGGCTGTGCTTAAGGAAAGAACAGAAGTCCTGTGTGCTTCTTGTCTCCGAGTGGCTCTGCAGTAGATTTAGATTTTTTTTTAAACTACTAGTTTAATGAGGGTGTCTGTTACAGCTCACTGTCAAATCCGGGTTAGAAAACCTCTCCACACAAAGGTAACAAGCACTCCCGTCAAACTTCAGAGTGGCCTCTCTAAAACTGAATTTTGCACATTCTGCCTGATAACCTCTCTGCGAGTCCTACCATGCCTGAAATTGCTTCAATCAAAATTCCAATCATCCATTCAATCAATTCACTGGGAATGAACTGAACAAATGGAGATTTTTCTTTTTTTTTAACTGAAACTTGGCTGACTAGAAATATATGGAGAAGGGTTTGAAGTGAAAATTCAAATGAGTCTTGTCAGTGTATCCCTTATAGATCCATTTAACTGGAAAAGGTCAAGTCTTCCTTTTCCAGTCCCTCCAGGTGAAGTGGAATTTAAAAAGCCTCTGGCTTCTACCTCCTAGGCTCTTGGACAAAAGATCAGTTTACCCAATCTGCTGCATGTTTAAAAGCTTGAGCTAAAGACAAAGAACTGCAGTCACCACCAACAGCAACAGAATCAGAAGCACTGAAAGGAAGGGAAATGCCCCCTGCTCTTTAGCTCTGCTTCGATTAATGACAATATAAAGGACGCTCGCTTTGTTTGAGTTGGACAAAAAGAAAAACACTAAATTTGAAGCACTGACTGATACGGTCATCCCAAAGCTAATGTGTGTTCATTCTCACTTAGGGTAAAGTAGGGGGCTCTTTTAGACACGGCGAACAGTGGCGGGCGATAACAAAAATTCTGATGTGCGTCGTCAAGGGGATATTACAATACCCATTCAATGTGCTTGTGAACAGCATTAACATATTCATGAAGTTTTCCTTATCGTAGCCAGCCGCTCTTCCTCCTCTCTTTCTTTAATCTGACCTCGCTTTATAATTATTTTTAAATAGTGTCACAGTTCCATGATTAAGGTTTAAGTTGCAACACAGCGCACTCTGTCAACACGTCATCTAAAAGTGCCTTTTCTTCTATTTGGAGACTTGGCAGTCAGCTATGATTTAGCATGCTGCAGCATGAATGTGAATTACTCTCAAATATATTTTCCTAAATCGAATCAAATGCAATAAATAAATGACTGATTTACAAGCAGATATTCTTGAATCTGAATGTGACACATATACAATACATATGTAATAGAGCTGGGCGATATATCGAGTTTTTAAAAAATATCGATATATTTTCATACGAGATATAAGATGTGACAACATCGTTTATATCGATATAGTCTATGTTACGTTATAATTATACTTGTGGAGCCGCAAGTTTGCCTCTCTTTCGTCCATTTTTGTCTCTACGCTGCGTTACTGGGCCTCGCCTCTCCTTCACTGAGCACAACTCCCCCTCCCCCATAACTTCACCTGCAGGCAACGACAAGATGATCACGGCAAATCTCCGTTAACAAGTTACCGCGGATCGCCCCGTGCGTGGGGCTGGACGGCGTCAACGTGTTAGCGAGCTAACCGCGCTAACGAGCTAAAATCCTTTCATTTTCTCAAAACTCGACAGTGCACCTTATGTGCAATCTGTCAAAAAAGTGTTTTAGTACGACTTTGGTGAGCTACGGAGCCGCACCGCTTGATGGATTGTCAGAGCATTACGGCTACCGTAATGGAGCCTCGTGGAGTGATACGTACTGTGCTTCACCGTAATATTACCGTATTGTGTGTGTGTGTGTAAAAGGACCATAAATGGCACCTGTTGAGTAATTTCTTCATGTACATCTATGCTGTATGTTAATAAAAGTGCCTGATTGACATCTGGGACACAGCTTTGACTAAACTCTCTTTTTGTTCTTACCTTATGGCTTTAAAAAAAAAAAAAAAAAAAATCGAGATATGTATCGTATATCGCCATCCAGCTAAAAAATATCGAGATATGAATTTTGGGTCATATCGCCCAGCTCTAATATGTAACACACGTTTATAGAATTGACTAAGTGCAGCACTGTGGGTGATCCTCCTTTTGCTGTTCAAAGTCTTCTACATAACTCATATAATCAATACTTTAAAAGGACAATACAGGAAATGAAAATGTGTTTTCAAAAATAAAACAGATTCAAATACATTACGAGATTCTCTGACCTGCCATAGTTGAAATGCCGAGAACCACGCCGATTGATAACTCAATCTGTGTGCCCTGGAAAAAACAAGAGAACAGAAGCTCATTTGTACAAAGAGGAAAGCTCAGTGCAAGCAGTTGTCTGCATCTCTTTGCAATAGGGGACTCAAGCCAGGATGCCAAGCACCTGTGTACTTTTGGAGTTAAATCACCTTCCTTTAGCATCTATGTCACTATTTCTGCTTCAAACGTGTGAGGTTCTGGCTGGACCGGAATTTCAATTTTCATCAATTCATCACAGTTAATAACCGTGTCGTCACAAAAAGGGTCACACATAATTGCCAACTTGACTCCATTCAATCATAAACTGATAGCAGAATGACTACGATTACATTTTTAATGCACAAAAGCTGCTTTGCATGCAGCAACTGACAGCGAGTGGTTGCAGACCTGGTTCCTCGTCTTCGAAGCAGCCATGTCAAAGGCAACGAGACGACCTTTAATCACTCACAAAGCTCCTAATCTCAACAAAGTACTATTTTGTAAAATTTAATCTATACTTAGTACAACCTTTAAATGCATTTTTTGCAGTCTTTCAGGTTGCATTAGCTACCTCCAGAGACTGAGAGAATAAAGTGCTAGGAGTGCATGCCTCATGAAGCAGACACTTACAGCAACAATCATGATGCAGTTGTCCAGGAATCCAAATCCAACGAATGGGAGTGCATTGTGCAGCAGAACTGTAAAGCAAGCAAACACAACAAATCACTGTCAGACACATTATAATGTGATTCAGCATGGATAGACAACAACGCATCACACATTTAGAAGAGAAATGAGAACATTAGACACAAAACGCCTCTGAAGCCATAAGCAGCTGTAAATCAGTATCAGGCAGTGATACATTAGTGCGTGCTCATTAATGTGGTACGGGGGTAAGTCATTCCGTCTTATTTCTTTAGCACTGCCGCTGGTAAAATGCAGACAGCTACGAAGCCAGCGGGTGAACACTAGACTCTTGGTAAGGTGGAATGGATTTTTTAAACAGGAAAGAGTAAATAGCATCATAAATATCAAGAAAATCCACTTGCAGCAGGAGTGCGTGGATACTATAGACAGTCTGATGTACCGATGGTGCTATCAAAGTGAATTTTAAAATGTCATCCACCGCCCCGGCAAAGGATATTCAAGCTTAAGTTCAAGTGAAGTTCAGTTTAGTTTAAGTGACAAATCTGCAGGAAAGTTTGAAGCGTAATCGCCACGATGCGACTGTGTTCTCTACGGATCTCGTAGCGCTGCAGCTCTCCTTCAGGACGCCGTGAGAACTTTCAATCCTGCTGTGAGCGCCTGAGCTCAACACGATAAACACCGACACACTCAACACTTAAACGCAGACTGACACCAGAGGCAATCCTGCCTTCAAACGTATGCTGAAACGGAACAAAGTGAGCACTCAGAGAATTCTCGGTGTTGGGTTTGACTGATTCCCTACGGAAACAAACTGGAACTCGAGTGTGAAATTTAACAGCAGTTAGCGAGGTCAGTGGGGAAATCTCAACATTTGGTAAATGATTTGCCTCTTTATTTCTCAAATGTGCTTTCAGATCCTTAATGAGTCACATTTTTATTCTTAACTCAAGAAAATGATTTAAGAGTGAAGCTGTCTTTAGAGATTTAAAAGCAGTGAACGCCACGATGCTCTGAATTTGAATTTCACAGCAAGGGCCTGTTATCTTAACTGGACCCGGCTGTCTCAGGATCCCATTCTGCACACTTTGAGTTTAACCCAATATTAAAAAATGACTCCTCTGGCCATGTTAGCTCTAATTATAACAGCCATCTGGGGACATTTTTCCCTGTTGGTGGGGAAATTTCAATTAGGAAATTTGAGGAAATCACGACTGCTCGTCCTTAGTTTTCCTTTTGGTGACTTGATATGAACTTAAGACTTTCCTCTTGTATCAGGCTCAAAGTTTGCTTCCTACAGGCAAAGGTCTGGACTGTTTTATCTGGCTCCTCTAATGTTTTCCTGGGCACATCACAGCTAGCCTACAAGAAAGAAAAACTCTGAGCTCGCCAAAGTGAATATTTGAGATGTCGCAGGCATTTTTTTGAAACGTCATTCCTCAGGTGGACTCCCATCCATCGCAGCTTTCACAAGTTTTCATCCCTGAGATGGATGCAGTGGGTTTTTTTCATAATCTCGTAACTCCCAGTAGGAAAAAAAATAGGCAACAACAAGAAGATTGACATTATCATCACAAATGTGTGCGACACCACAGCGACAACAGGCTGAGTCAGTGTTTCACTTGAAGTTTGTCTCTTCTGTGTCAGCTCAAAAAGACAAATGCTCAACTCCAGAGGAGACTAAATATTTCCCACACAAAGCGGCTGTTGTGACAAAGATCTGTTTTTGTTAAATATAAGACAGGCGAGGAGGAGAAGCTTCCAAACCTTTAAAGTGAAGAGAGAAAGCTGAGCTCATGAGATCACCAACAGAGTGAAAAATGCCCACACAGCCTTTGCAGTTGGATTACATTCTTTCTTTGTGAGCACAATGAGAAAAACCCCACTCAGCTTTATGCTGAAGCTTTTCTGGCTGGTCCCCAGTTTTATATACCAATTCAGGTTTATTTCATTTCATTTTTCTTCAATTTCTCTGTGTTTTACATTATTTTGACTTCAAAAGAAATGCATGCTTCAAATGTTTTCTAATACGAACCCTCATGTTGGGAAGTGCTGACTGGTTTACACAAGATGATCCAGGATGTAATAACGGACAACTGTACAAACAGAAAACATGTCTCCTTATACAAATTCACCATCCACCCACACATCCATCCGCTTAACCCCCGGTATCTTTTCCAGCTGTTAATGGAGGCCAGGTAGATATGAAACCAGGACTTCCTTGTTGTGAAGTAAAATGGCAAATGGCCTGTATTTGTATAGCGCTTTACTTAGTCAATTATTCAATCATCCACCCATTCACACACTGGTGATGGCAAGCTACATTGTAGCCACAGCTGCCCTGGGGCGCACTGACAGAGGCGAGGATGACAGACACTGGCGCCACCGGGCCCTCTGACCACCACCAGTAGGCATCGGGTGAAGTGTCTTGCCCAAGGACACAACGACCGAGACTGTCAGAGCCGGGGCTCGAACCAGCAACCTTCCGATCACAAGACAAACTCTTGAGCCACGATCGCCCCGTGAAGTAACAGTGCTAACCACCGCACACGTGCATAATAAAATAACACCTTTAAAATCTACTTTTAGCTGCATACATAATTTAATGGGTTGTCACGCTACTAATATTAAGTGTGCTTTCTTAAGCACATTAGTAGAAAGAAGCACTGATAAAGGGGAGATGTGAGATAATGGATGAAATAGCTCATCCATTTTTACCCGTACCCTTCATTTTTCCAAAAACATGTTCTATACAAGTCAGAAATCCTGTTATATTTTCTATTATCATATATTAGGGAAAGTTTGAATTAAAAAACGCTTCAAAGAAATTGAACAAGGCACAAATGGACTTAGGACTACGTGCAACAAGTATTGTTCTCCATGCTTAAGCAGATTGTCGTTCCGGATATTTTTTTCAGAGTATAATATTATGATGTACAACTTCACACATTTGCTGTGGCAATGTTTATTATAGTGAGCCATTACATTAGTAAGAACTAAAGTAGATTTAAATATCAGTAATATTGTGTATGATGGAACAGCTACATATTAAAGTTACAGTGTGCAAAATCTCACCACTAGAGGTCAGTAGATTCCAAATTGCATTCAATTTTTATTTTATTTTTTTGTTTTGTTTTTTACCACTCCCAATTCAAGCCATAATCCTAGCTATGGTAGAAAATGTAGGACAAACAACTCTGGCCGTTGTTCATCTCTTGTGAGTGTAGGCCAGGGGTGTCCAACTCCGGGCCTCGAGGGCCAGTGTCCTGCAGGTTATAAATGTGTCCTTGATCCAACACAGCTGATTTAAATGGGTAGGTTACCTCCTTAACATGTCTTGAAGTTCTCCAGAGACCTGGTAATGAACTAATCATTTGATTCAGTTGTGTTGACCCAGAGTGATATCTAAAACCTGCAGGACACGGCCCTTGAGGCCTGGAGTTGGGCACCCCTGGTGCAGGCTGTCAGTCCACTGTTTACCTCAGCTGGTCTCCATGACTGTTTACTTCGGAGGCTGCAAAACTTGTGAAAGGAGTCAGATACAAAATGAAGAGAAGCTCACTTCTAAACGTTGACAGTGATCCTGAGGTGAATTGTTTAGGAAATCCTGAACCTTTCTGTCAGTAAAGGCTGCCGTTTTTGCTGCTGTTAGCTTGCATTAATGAAGCTTTCTTTAAAGTGGATCGAACATTGTTGGACTCTGAGACTTATTGAATAAACTCTCATATGATATGAGAATACAATCAAACTGTTTATCACAGCCTAATATTAGCTGGCTTAATGTTAGCTCATAACCAGCTGTTGTTGGTGCATGTTAATGCACGTCCTCGTGTGTTAGAGCTCAGACATCAGCTCAGCAGGTGACACTTGAGGTGAGAAGGAAGAAGATGTAGTTTTATCGAGTCGCGTTGTCTCTTTCCTTCTTGTTTTCACTTCTTTGGTGAAGAGGACCCGTTCTCAGATAATAAGCATAGATACTCATATCCTGAGTCTGACACTCTGCACGGGAATGCCTACGAGTTTTCTTCTTCTCCACCTCTGGTACACTATGTATGTGGCCGCTCTGCAGCCACATTCATAAAACACTATTACGATGAATAACGATGTCCATCTCATCTGTACTCAAGCTGGGACAACAAGGTGGCTTCCATGAATTGCAAACCTGCTCCTATCTAATTTTATTTATTAATTCTAAGTTTACACATAAATTCAATCCATCAATTTGTTGTTTTTTCTCTTAAATAACCTCAAAAAACCACTGATTTTACATTTAAGTCATTATGACCTCAGACTCAGAGACTTTTTTACTGCTTATTAGATTCAATTTGGATCCATTAGGTCCATAAACAGGGGTTTTTCCTTTCCTTTGGACAATTCACGGAAACAACACATTCACAATGAGCCATTAATTAAACTGGTCCTCATTAACTTTCCTAAACTGACTGACTGTTAAATGAGGCATGTCCTAAAAGATTAATGAGCAATTTTCTATGAGTACTCATCTTGTAAAATGAAAAGGATAAAATATATAGAGACACATTGAGGAGTTAATATATCTGCCAAGAACAAAAGGACCTCTTACCATATCTTAACTGTGCTGCAGTGGGTGGTGCAATTTCCAGCTGTCCTGGAAAAAGAAGAAAACAAATATTAAAGAAAAACATTTCTATTGAGGAGAACGATCAGCATTATTGAGAGACACTTCATAGATGGCAAAACATAAAAGCAGAGAAAAAGAAGAAGGAAGGCATGCAAGAAATATGACATGAGAGGAATGAAGAGAAAAGAAACCACACCTCCCCCGACTGAACAAATATATATGGATTTGTGGATATAGACTCACAGTAAAACACAGTCTTACAGTCCTAAATGCCTGTGTACACATATTAAATGGACAAAAATGATGGGAGACAGATTAAAGAAAAAGCTAACCTATTAAAAATAGTTTTTAGCAGTTATAACAAACCACAGATAGGCCGATGAAGGTCACTTCAAAGTTTAGAAGCTACAACTACTGTGATCACCTCTAGTTTCAAAATAAGAGCACAAAAGGGTTAAAAGACTCAGATAACATGATCGGAGACGCCAACGATTAGAATAAGGTCTCTATATAACTCTGCTATATGTAGGCCATGCAGGACTTCATATGTTATTTATAACGTTTAAAGTGGATTATGAATTTCTCTGGAAGCTTGTGAAGGGAAGTGAGAAAAGAGGTGATGTGTGAGCACCAGCTGGTTTTCTTAGTAGCCTGGCTGCTTCCAAAATAAGGGTTAAAGTGATGTCGACATACAATAACTGTTGCCAAACAAGCTTATCGGGAGACTCGCCATCATACTGATTAACGTGAATGCATGTGGCGCCAAACAATTAGAGCCGAGACCCAAAGATTCAAATATCTGCCACACACAACATACAAATACAAAGTTTACTGAGATTTCATTAAACTTTGATACTGCGACAGCACAGCTGAACTGAAACTGAAGTTAATGGGATGCAACCTCTATCTGGATTGCAGAGTAAAATTACTGTCTGACTATATGCCACATTTACTCAAAAGCCACTGAACTGTGATCCAGCACAATGACCTGCTGTAGAGAAATAGATAATTAAATTGGTTTTAAGGCTAAAGACACAAGACAAGAGGACTTCTTCTGCAGGTCCAGTGAAATTAGATTTATTGCCATGAGGTGAGTGGAAATGTTAGTCCACATAATGAAGTCAGGTCTGTCATTTCCAGGTGTTATTGCACCACTGCAGGGTAAACCAGACTGGAAAGGTTTGGATTATTAGTAGTGAAGGTGATTCAACTCCAAACAAACATACTCCTTCATTCCCTCCTTGGACCTTTTCCATTGATTTACAAGCTATTAAGAACAAATACAAAACAAATATTATAGTCAAGTACTGATTTTTAGGGAGAAAACTATTAACTTTTGTTTTTACTTAATTAGAACAAAAAAAAAAAAAGCTTGAGCACAATTTAATAATTTTCAGTCACTTAATGGATTTATTTATGTTACAGTTAAGTTTAGAAGTTTAAAAACTGAACCTGGTCGATCACAGAATGAACGGGAAACTAAAGATAGCTTTCTGCCTTCTTTCCTCCACCCTGTGTGCCTCCCCCCACCCATTGCCACCCATGTTCAGTGTGACATTATGAGCTCTACAGTCTTCAGTTCAACTCCCGGCTCATGCAGCTCACAACAGATGTTCATCAGCAAAGTGCATACACAGACACACACTGACCTGTCAATGCTTCCAGTTTGTGTATAAAGAAATATTATTATCCCATTTTCCAAGTTTCTGGACAATTATGTTGCTTCCACAGGCATCAACCATCCAACTACAAGAGATGGAGATCTTATCCACGGAGGATGGTTTACTTCCCTCCAGAAACCATTTGTTTCCATTTATTGCTCATCCAGGGGCTGCTTCAGGATTTAATTGAAGACCTTTCAATGATCATCAACATCAGTGAGGCAGTAACCATTAAACCTTCTTGGTACGCAGTTATCCTCACCTGCCTTACAACACTAGCATTTGTTAGAAAATGGAACTTTTCTGTAAAGAAAGATGCATCAGCGTTTTAACGATATTCCCCCACTTTTTCATATTTCAAAGCAGTGTTTAACACCACCCTAAAACTATCTGCTCCCTGGTGAATACCCACCAGCGTCAGATGGATGAATTGCACATAAATCAAAGTGGTGAAGGTCAGCTGAATCAGTCCTCAGCTGACGCCGGTGCAGCAGTGTCAGGTCATGTGCTGTGAAGGGCTCAGACTGCGTTCAGCATGGCTCTGTCTCAGCCTTCCTTCCGTTGGCTGCTTTATTTGTAACATCTCAAAACTTTAAAAAAAATCAAAAAAAATTTAATGAATCGGTTTACTTCCACACAGAGACTAATCTTCAGGATATGTGGATAAAGACTTGAAACATTTATTATCTCTCTTTTTTTTTAAGTTTGTGCATGTAGAATTATTTAATAGCTGTATATATTATACCCAAGCAAAAAGAGGGACTGATTCAAGGACTTTTCTTATATTCAGAAATGGGGGCAACGGATCAGAAACTGATACAGCATTAAATCTGCATTAGAAAACACTGGGCATGACTTTTAGGCTCATCACCTCTCTATTAAATAAGATACAGTGGTTCCAACATAAAAATTGTTTTGTATTGGGGAACTTTTTGTAGTTTGTTAAGTATTTTGTTAAATGAAGCCAAAGAAGCAAAATATTGTAAAATAATGTTGCAAATCATGCACTGCAAGTTAATTTGTGTCACGTATTAGCATCAAAATATATATTAAAATATACTTAAAATATAAAGGAATAATAAAAACATAATGGAAAAAATAATAATAATAATACTTAATTTATTAATTAGAAAAGTATTATTATATGGCATAGTCTACAAATAGAATTTATATTTTATGTTCATTATCTAAATCAGCAGAAATAATTAATATAAAACTATTCTTTTATTGCAATGTCCTATTTAGAGTATCCCACATTAATATCATTGGGGGTACTGGGGTGGTAATTAAATTTCGAAAGCTGGGGCATGTCTGCCCCCCGGTGCCCCCCTTTTAGATGCACCCCTGGAAAAAATGCTGACTCTCTTGATGTGTTCAATTTCAAGTTGGAAATCAGAATTTCTGAGTTGCCAGACGAGATTTTAAAGTGAAACACCCCCTCAAGTCAGAACTACAACTTGAATCAGCAACACCATCCAAGATGGTGGTGGTACAAAAAACTTAGTAAGAATTAAAAAAAGAACAAAATGTAGCGATTTTGTGTGTAGACTGCATTTCCTTAGAGAATAACACATAGTTAAATTATTTATTTAATGTAAAGCCCATTAACTTCAGTTATCAGGTATCAATAATCCCCGAGTCCACAAAATTAAAACATTATCAGATTTTGAGGTGTCTGGCCCCCAGTGCCCCCCTTTTAGATGCGCCCCTGGACAAAGTGCTGACTCTCCCGGTGGGTTCAATTTGAAGCTGGAAATCAGAATTACTGAGTTACCAATGCAGATTTTAAACCACAATGCCTGCCTCAAGTCAGACTGAAAGCTTGAATCAGCACCACCAACCCCAACTTAACAAAGGGTCGTAATAAGTCGCTAACTATAACTATGAAGCAGAATCAGCTCCATCTGATAAAGACTGTGTTTACACATAAACAGACTACACATTTCAGCATTCTGGTCACAGATGATGCTGTTTGCAAGATCAGGTATAACACCTGTGTGAATTTGGTAAACTATAAAACTCTGTCACTTGTTCACATGAATTTCCTGTAAATCCTAAATCTAAAAAAAGCTACTACTTTGAATTTGCTCTATATTTCAAAAGTCATTGCATAAGTGGTAGCTGGTTTGGCTCAACCCACAGATTATTTGCTTTGTTTTGCTGCTTTATTCCTCCCTCTATGAGAGTGTTGCTGTGATCTCAGAAGAAGGCGAGAGGAGCTCACAGTGTGTTGTCTTTGTTTTGCTTTGACAAATGGCCACACTCTCTCAGTGCTGGTACAGAATGAAACCAACGTGTGAAGAGCTTAGTTTTGTAAATGGGAGATAAGTATGAAGAAAAGAAAAAGCCAAACAGCCTCAGCCACAGGAAAAAATAAGTTGAATAAATGTCTGTCAGTCCATTCTGCATTTCGTTTTTGTGCGTAGAAATGACAAATACAGGCACTGTGAATTTCAGCTTTACTCTGAGAGGGTAAAGCAACAACTACTGCAAGGACATTTCTGCATACGGCAGTTCAATGCAGTGTTGTGTGTGTGGGGGACGTGTTTCTGTATGAATCTATGTCATTGTATTGTGTGTGTGTGTGTGTGTGTGTGTGTGTGTGTGTGTGTGTGTGTGTGTGTGTGTGTGTGTGTGTGTGTGTGTGTGTCTGGGAGAGAAAGAACAAAGGTTCAGCAGAAGAGGAACAATTGAAGGCTGGAGCCATTCATCAGCTGCACAGCACCTTGCTATTCCCCTATATGAGACAGGAGAGAGGAAATTACACAGCACAAAGAATGTGGACCTGGTGGACAGGACCGTCATTAGCAAACACAAAATGGGAACAATTTTTTCTTCCTTGGGGGAGGGGGGCACTTTTTACAGAAGGATGAAGATTAGGTATCATAAAAAGTAAAAGACAATCAATTAAATACTCAAAGAAATCTCAATAATAATAATATTTTTCTTTAACTTTTAGTGCCCTGCAATATGCTTCTGAATGTTAGAATTCATCCATTGAATGTCAGAGAAGGTATCATGAAATGGACTGATTCTTGTATAGTGCTTTTCTACTCTCACGGAGTACTCAAAGCGCTGTATACAGCACGCCTCATTCATCCCTGCACTTCTAAACTCAAGTGCAACTAATAAACATTCTCACAAAACCACACTCCGATGGGGATTTGGGGTTAGTATCTTACCCAAGGATATTTGGCATGCAGACTGGAGGAGCCAGGAATCGAACCACCAACCTTCCAATCAGTAGCTGATCTGCTCTACCACCTGAGCCACAGCCAAAGCTGTTTACTTGCCATTGGGAGCCAGTCTGCCAGCTACTTAGGCCCAAAAAATTCTGAGTGACCCAACGCAGTCCAGAAAAAAAAA